AAGAATAGCAAATATCTGTCATTTTAAATCCATACCCTTACATCAGACCGGATAAGGAGTGTTTTTTAATGATATGCTTAATTTAATTTATTGGTAAATAAATTCCTAACGCTACAAGTTAAAAACTTATAAATTAGTGCGATAGTCACAACGGGTCAATTTTAAAATTTTCATATCTGTCTTAAAACTACACAAGATTGAAATACATGTATATCTTATTCTAACAATTTGAATGTCCTTATTTATTATTTATTATTATTAGTCCAATTATATAGGCCATGTAATTCAAAATGTCGGCAAACATCGGTTTTTGGTATTCTTAGGAATACCGCGGAACCTGTAGGTGATGGAAAATAATTTTGTATGGGACTTTTACTCAGGAGCACCCAAATATCATGGAAAACTTGAAATGGTTCGTGGAAATTTTGGCTGTGTACCTGTGTTACAGGCATAAAAATGCAATTGGAGTGCGGGAGTGGAAAAGAAAACTCTGAGTTATAATCGAAATTAATTTGTGAGTATGTAGTCTGGAAGAATTTTGCGAACAGGTTCGCGATATCAGGCTCATTAGAAGCGGAGGCATTATCAAAATGAAGACATGATGGAAATTGTTGAGATTTCCGTTTCGAGATTACGAAAGCGTAAAATTGCTTCGGGTTAGCCTGAAACTCAATTTTGCACCGATATAAGTGGTTTCTGTAGCATTCAGAATTGTGTGCTAGGAAATTTGTACGAGCAGTTAAATATCTCGAATGGTCGACTTGGAGACCAGGTTTTCTATACTTTTTAAACAGTCTGGATTTCAGATTTTTTAGATAAGAAAGCCGACGAGAAAACCAATGGGGCTTATGAGAAACTTCTGGTGAGGGAAATGAAGGAACATACATTTCGAAAACTACGTACATTATTTCATGGAAACGCAACGAAACGTTGCAGGCTCAGCTTCCGGACACAATAGTAATGGAGTGGAGCCTTCAAAGGTTAGCTCCAAAGTGGGATGATAAGCGTCCTCGGGACTAGAAAGAGGGTCAATTCTAGGGACGTACGAAGTTTAATTGTCCCAATGAGTGGTCAATGGAACCATGAATTAAATCGTGGGGTGAGGTGGGAACAAGAACATTTGAATCAGGTAAGGGCATCCAGGAAATGGAGGGCAGATTGAAATCACCCGTGACGATAAGGTGGTCATTAACACCAAGGGAAGAATGAATTTCTTGAATTAAGGATACATTCTGCATATAAATATCAGTGTCAGACCTAGGTGGAATATACGAACATGAAACGTAGGTAGAATAATCGTAAACCTGGATACGAACCGCCACAAACTCTAGATCAGTGTCAATTTTAGGAATGATATTAGAAACCAGATCGGATTTAACCGCAATGAGAACACCACCGCCTGTCCGTATAGGACGATCACTTCTAAAGATGGTATAGTTCCCTGAAAAAATCTAAGAGTCAGAAACAGAGGAGTTAAGCCATGTTTCTGTAAAGACAATAACATTGTCATCGAAAGAGACACTATTGACGTGCAGTCTACTGAGCTGGCCAAGTAAACTACGAACATTCTGATAGTGAAGAACAAAAGAGTCAATTAATTTTTTGAAGGCCTAGTTGAAGGAGTTTGAGGCCCGCGAGCACGAGGATTACTTTTGTTTTCGAGTTCGTGAACAATTGCATGCTCAGGCCACACAGAAGGATCAAGAGCCTTAGAAAATAGTAGGTCAGAAAGTGAAATTTTAAACGAAGATATATCACGTCATTGCTTAAAATTGAACTTGGAGACACTAAACTCAGTAACAGAAACATTCAATTTGCTGCTCAAGTGGGTCTTAACGTCGCCCTCAGAAGCATCTGGATTGAGGCGGGAAACAAAAATCTGGTTTTTCGGAGCAACACCAGCCAAAGGCACCGGTCCACGTTTGGCAACGCCAGAAATTGTCGACTGTTGGGGGCCACTTCTGGTAACGGCCGGCGCTAATATAGGGACCACCGGGGGAACCACGGGGTGGGCATTCGACACCACCGACGCGTCGTTGATGGCAGCAGCACGCGACGTGAATGCCTGGTCGGTGTAGACAGGTTGCTGAACCCGGAGTATGGCGAATTCGCCCAGTCCGAGAATGGGGACCGGTGCAACAACTTCAGCAGAGGCTGCAGCATGCAACGTGGATGCCTGGACAACGTTGACACGCTGCTGATCCAACGGCCTGACCAGATCTTCAAGAACAGAAGTTTGGACCGATGCAGCATCTTGCTCATATTTTTGTTTGCGGGGTCACTTAGCAGTTTTAGCGACTTAAAGTGGTGTTCCGCCTTCTGGAAACGAGTTGACAACTCCTTAAAGCCGGCCGCCAACGACTGAAATTCTAGGTGAGTTTGCCTCATGAAGACCCGCATATCGATTTGATATGCAGGCAGCTCGAGCAGGTCGAGTCCAATCCAGCATTTTCTCGAATACTATCGGAGATACGCGATCCAATTTGCCCCAGATCGGCACATCCAACGTGAGCGATATTTTCGCAGAGCCAGCAGTAAACATTGATCTGCCGCGAAGAAATTTTTTGTAAATTGTAAATTGTAAATTGTTTTAATTTATTTGCGCGCCGAAAGAGCCGATCAAAACAAAATTATACATTATGTTAAAACAAAAAAAAATTTTTAAGTTTCGCGGCGAACAGACCGATCAAAACAGAAAGCGAAGAGCGCACAAATAAAAGCTTTTATCTAAGCGCCGAAAAATAAGAAATTTGTGTTATTGATTTAGCTAGCGCCAACAACACAAGGCGATGCAGCGATAAGCGGTAAACACAATGCACAAGAATAGAAAGGCAAGGCAATTGTAAAACCGAAATTGTTTTGCGACGATAAAGTCAAAGACTTTATTTACAAAGGTCTGGTTGTTTATTGATTATGAAGTTCACGGAAACACCGACCACTTGCTAAAAATTTGGGCTTTGATAAATATAATTTCACTAAGAAAACTTTGAATAAATAGAGCGATGTAAAGCACGTCAACTCAAAGTTTGGCGTACACCGTATGTAGCTTGCTTTGCGAATTGTATTTGTAAAAAGCTCCACAGCATAGTCTAGTTCCTCTCCTGTTTTTAACGAAATATCTAGGCTTATGGCTTCTTCTAGGTAGCTTTTAAACGCGTTAATATCTGTGGAAGCAGAGATTATTTTATAGGGCTTGTCAAGCATATGAGCTATTGTGCTATAGGTAGCTATTATCGGAGAGTGATCTGAGTTAAGATCGAAACTTTCCATTAAGCGCATGTGGGATTGTGGGATACCAGAGAATGCTACGAAGCCCACCAAGGGTGTTTGGTATTGAAGTCGCCTCCAACAATAAACTTTGTTCCCAGTCCTTGAAAAAAGTTCTTAAAATCGAGCTCTTTTATTGTGAATCTCGGTGGGAGATATATTGCTGTGATTGAGACATCTGCGTGCATGCATTTAATCTCAATTGTGGCAGCCTGTATATAATTTTCTATAGTACTATCCTAATTTTAAATTTCAGACCATTTTTAACAAGAATTGCTGCGCCTCCATGGGCTCTATCTTATTGTGTCATATCCAACTACTTTAAAAAAAGATTTACTGGTGAAGTGTGTTTCTGAAACAAGCATGATGTCGATTGCATTTGTTTTTAACAATAGAGATATTTCATTGACATGGTTGGAAAGCCCATTGGCATTCCATATTCCTAAGATTAGGCTTATTTGCATAATTTATTGACCAGTAACATTATCATGTTAAGCAGGTTATTGATGAGTTCAAATTGTTTTTCTTAAAGATGTTCTATTCTTTCTAGAGAAGAATTCGAATTACTATTTCCTTAAGCAACTTGAGTGTATGATTGATAATCTTTTGGTTGTTGAATTGGCTTATCAGGCAGAATAGGGAATTGGTATTTTGCAAAATCATTTTGATTATGGTTTTTGTTAGGTGGTAAGGGTGCGACAATCCAAGGCAAAGTGAACAGGGCAACTGTTGATGAATATTCCTTGGCTCAAATGGAACACCAAGTCGACTCGCAGGTGAATATCAGTCTGATATACACCACCTTCTCCTCAGAGAAGGTCCTCCGCGTGGTACCTCCTGGAAACGTACTATGGTACGTCCTATGCGAGCAGCACCTCCTGTGAATCCCGCACCCAATAATCCTCTGACTCCCAATCCCTACCAAGACATGGGCAAGTCTTGAAACTGCCTCCCCTCAAGTCAGGTGTGTAAAGCGACCCGTGCCCACTGACTATAAAGTTCGCAGCTGAGGGGGCAAACCAGCTGTGTCAGAACGGAGCCTTCCCAGGGCCGGGCAACCCTGGGTCGGAACGAGCCTTGCCGTGGCTTAGGGGCGAAGCCACGGTCGACCTTACTTCAATGCCCCAAACCCCTCGGGCCCGCCGCGCTCGCCATGTCGAGCAACGCGGGCGTTTATGAACATGAACTCAACCAAAAAATCCGCTTCGGACCTCGCGGGTGAGGTAAAACCCCAACAACCGGCGACTGAGAGTGAATTGGACGAGGAGGAGCTTCTGCGCTCAGATGATGAGACTCCGGCTCCGTCCATTTCAGAGGGAAGTGCTAAGACCAGCACACCTCAAGCGATACAACCAACGACAAGCAAAGCAGCGGCAAGCCAAGCCAAAGCGACGGGCGAACACGGGAAGTCAAAACCGTGGACCAACCAGCAACGAAAGGCGCAAGCAAGCAAGGCCCATTTCATCCTCGCCAAAATATCAAGGAATGAAAAGGAGGGCAAAGCCGATCCGCGCGACCTAGCAGACAAAACTAGGTACCTCGCAGTGATCGAGGAGTATTAGCGATACGAAAAGGAGCACCCACAAACGCTTTTGCCTCCCCAAACGAAGCGCAACCGCTCACAAGAAGTGAGCGAGAGCGCTCCGAAGAGAGCCAAAGACGCGAAGGGCGCCCCGACCACCTTTGTCAAGACGGTGAAAAAATTCAGCGAGGTGGCCAGAGACAGACTCGCTATGGCACTTGTTGATGAGCTCAACGACGATGGGCGCCTTCTAATGGAGAAATGGGAGGAGGTCGAGACCCAGTTGGCAGAGATGGTGGCAGACAAACTACTGTCCGAGCCAACGGGCCAGTCACCCTCCTTTGACTCCTCGGACATGGTTAGGGGGCACCGGGTGATCAGGTGCGACGATGAGTTCTCGCGGGACTTCCTGGCGGATTGCGTTGCCAGACTAGGCAAGGCATGGAAGGGGATTAGTATTAAGCTGGTCCCCGCCAAGGACATCCCAAGGAGACCCAGAGCTCGCATCTGGTTACCCAAGGGGCTGTCTAGCCATTAAAGGGTGCTCAAGACTCTGCGAGCGATGAACAAGGGAGTCGATATGGAGGACTGGGCTATTCTCAAAGCTGAACGAGAAATGAAGTCCAGCCAGCCATACCTGTTCTTGATCAACCAGCGCTGCCTAGAACAGCTGAAGGCAGCAGAAAACAAAGTCCGGTACGGCATCAGGAAAGCCAAGGTGAAGGTCTTCCTAGACGAACCGGACGATATTCTGGAAGACGAAGTCGAAGACGCCAATAAGCTGCTGGACGATTTGGCGATCGACGATAGCACCCCAACACCACCCCAATCTAATGCCTACGGTCGTTCAGATAAACCTGAAGCGCAGCTCCCACGCTTCAGCTAATCTGGGGGTCCTTCTCCGGGAGAACGACATCGACATCGGCCTTATACAAGAGCCATGGACAAGAGACGGACGAATCTCAGGCATGGCCATAAAGGGATACACAACATTATACACAAACTCGACAGGTAGGCCGAGGGCGGGTATAATCATTAAAAACAACCTTAATGCTCTTCTCTACCCCAATCTCAGCAACTTAGATCTAGCAGTGGCAAGATTCAAGGCGGCGGATGGGACAGCCATACTAATAGCCTCCGGATATATGGCCCACGACGAACCTGCACCACCTGAAGCGTTTAATAGGGTGATGCAGTGGGCCGAGGAGACTAAGACGCCGCTCATCCTCGGGTGCGATGCCAACGCAAGGCACACACTGTGGGGAAATAGGGAGAGAGTCTCTCTTCGATAGTATTATTTGTCGTGACGTCACTATTTGTAACAAGGGAAACACGCCCACCTTCATCTCTCCAAGTACGGAAGGATTACAGGGCTGGGAAGAAGTCCTAGACATAACCCTCCAAATGGAGCATAGCGATTATAAGGTAAGAAACTGGAGAGTCTCTACACAAGACTCGTTTTCAGACCATAGGTACATATTCTTCGAAATCGTGATGCCGATATGTGAAACGGCGCCGAAACGAAACCCTCGTAACACTGACTGGGACAAATACGGAAAGATTGTACAGTCAAAGGTCAAAGACAGAAGGATCAAGACTCGATCCACCCCGGAGAGAATAGATAAGGAAGTAGAGGACTTCACAAATATACTGAACAACGCCTACAAAGAGTCATGCAGACTAACATACTCTAAGAAGACATACCCACCATGGTGGAACAAAGAACTATGCGAGCTCAGAAAGAAAGTTCGAAAAGCCTTCAACACTAGTTACGGAACCAAAGACTGGCAGCCGTACAAAGCAATACACAAAGAATACAAAATGGCAATCTACGTAGCGAAGAAGGAATCTTGGAGCAGCTACTGTGAATCGCTTGAAGGAGTCAAAGACACGGCGAGGCTAAGTAAAATCCTATCGAGAGGACACACAAGCCCCACGCTCATAAATAAACCCGACGGGACAGGAAGTACGTCGGCTGAAGAGTCACTGGAAATCCTGCTGAATACGCACTTCCCAGAAAACCAAAAAGAAGAACCTAGAACAATGGAAAGCAGAGCAGGGGGCAGACCAGCAGTTACAAATAGAAGAGATCATCACCATGGAAAGAATCCATTGGGCGATAGATTCCTTCGACAAATACAAAAGCCCGGGTCCGGACGGAATCATACCAGCAATGATACAAACAACAAAAGCAAGCACGGGAAAATGGCTGCAAGCAATCTTTCAGGCATGCATTAAAACAGCACACATACCACTTCCATGAAAGGAAGCGAGGGTAGTCTTCATACCAAAACCAGGAAGAAGGGGACACATCCAAGCCAAGGATTATAGGCCGATAAGCCTTACCTCTTTTCTAATGAAAACACTGGAAAGGATCATTGATATCCACATCAGAGAAAGAACGGAGAAAAACCTTTCCAATGCGCAACATGCGTACAGGAAAGGCCGATCCACTGAAACAGCACTACACGAGGTAGTGCGATACATAGAAAAGACTCTACTTTTCAAAAACTACGCCATGGCCACCTTCCTGGACATAGAAGGAGCCTTCAATAACGTGAATGCGGATTCCATCCTAAGCTCATTCAACGGTATAGGAGTATAAGGAGGCATCAGGGCATGGATTGGCGCAATGCTGACTGAAGACAGTAGACACAGACTACATGACAACCGAACTGCGATTCGGTAACACATACACCACTATATACCCTACAAGGGTGTGTGGGCGAGTGTTACGCCCCATCTACTTTAACCCCCCCCTCTTTCCATTATGTACATGTTCCCCCCCCCACCCCTTTTAACTCTAAATAAACGAATATATAATAAAATACAAGGGAAGACTGGCAGAGAGGGAGAGTAACCGAACCGGATGAGGTATCACTCTACACCGACGGCACAAAGATGAGCGGCGGGGTAGGGCCGGAATCTACGCCGAAAGCTGGAAGGTGGAGGAATACTTCCACCTCCCAGAGTCAGCGACGGTTTTCCAGGCGGAGGTTCTCGCGATACTGAAAGCTGCCGAACTTTCGCTAGACCGAGGCCTTCGGAATACCAAGGTAAGGATATACTCAGATAGCCAGGCGGCGATCAAATCCCTCGCACAAGCACGGACGACTTCAAAACTAGTGGCCAACTGTAAAGGGGCACTAAACAGACTCGCAGGGTACAACAACAGGGTACAAATAGCCTGGGTACCCGGACACAATGACATAGACGGAAACGAGAAAGCAGACGAGCTGGCCAGAAAAGGGTCAGAAGAACACTCAGCAACAACAGACATACAGATCTCCCTGAACTCGGTCCAGACGGAAATTCACGACCATTTCAAACAACTAGCCAGCAAGGAATGGTCGACGAAGGCAGAGCACAGAAGATCGAAACTATGCTGGCCAGAATTCAATTAGAAGCGAACCGCAGAACTGATCTCCAAGAGCAAAAAGGACATCAGGAGGGTAACAGCAACCATCACCGGCCACTGGCCAGTAGGCACGCAAGCCTGTAAGATGGGTCTACCCTACAACACACAATGCAGAAGCTGCAAAGAACCCAGCGAACAGGAGACACCAGAGCACCTGTTGTGCCACTGCCCGGCACTCAACAGACAAAGAGCCCGACACTTCGGAGCACACCAACTCGAGTCACTAGGGGAAGTTGGAAGGCAGCCAATAGCGGCCATCCTAGCTTACCTGAATGACAAGGGCTGGTACTAAGAAGGGCGCAGACAACAGCAAATCGAGGGTGTGGAACAAAACGGAGCTCAGCTCTAATTGGAGGCGGCCAGGGCTGCCTCACCACTTATACCTACCTACCTAACCATGGTTTTTGTTTTGCATTTGTTTGCGACCAGTAGCTAATTGTTTTGATATGAGCTCCTTATAGAGTCTACACCCTTTGTAGCTGGCAACGTGATCTTCGTTGCGATTCGCACATTTTGCTGGTTGTTTTTTATCTTTTGTACATAGGTTGCTGGGATGCCTACGAGAGCATTTTACGCAGCTGTGATTTTTGTTGCAATAAGATTTTGTGTGCCCGAATTCCTGACAACGGTGACACTGAAGAATGTCTTTTGCTTTCCGAGGGGGCTCTATTTTGACAATTGCGTTACCAATGTGCATTGCGGGCTCAATGTCAAGAAAGAACAGATTTAATGGCTCTTTGGCTCCACGGCTTTTAATGTTATTTATGCTCCTAACAGAATGACCTTTGGACTCCACATTTAGTTTAATTACATCAATATCCGTTGAGAAGTGCAAATTCTTTATTACGAACCTAAATGCTCTCTCATGTTTAAGTTGGTTTGTATGAAACTTGACAAAATCGTTAGCAAGACTTTTAACGAGGGACCTGAATTCATCAATTGACTTAACCATAACCCTTACTTGGCCATCTCGTTGAGATTGATAAAGAAAATTTTATTTTTTAATTTTGGTTTCGAGGTAGTTTAGCATACTTTTTATATCACTAACATCCGATAAGAAGATAGGTGGCGGCTTGGCAGGTTCATCAATGTTGTCCTCAGTTATCATATCCAGTGCTTCGGTTTCGTCTGCATCATTACCTTTCTCAATTGGCGAGCGTTCGGCTTAGATAGCGAATTTATTGTGGCTAGTGCTGGGTGCAGTGTCCAGGGCATGTTTTTTCTTTAGTAGAATCGGAAAAACTTGATTTGGTCTCTTCATTCCCTTTGGCTTAGGCTTAATTTTTTGCCAGCTCCAAACCGCTGTGTCGTCTACGTCGTCGCTCATGTTGACAACAACACTTTTTTAGTGCTTATCAGCAAAAACTGTTATGTTTGTGTTTTGTTTTGTTTTCACAATTCGAGCAACTGTCTTTAAGCGTAGCTTCCACGTAGAATATAGGCACGTCAATTTGTAACATATACATAGGTTTATTTCTGAAGTTGTTGTCCAAATATTCGGACATTTATATACATATTTAAGTTTTAGCCCAATTATATAAGTTATACGTTTTCAATAGATTCATCTGTGATTGATTTTGGTAAATCCCCTTGAAGCTCCAATAAGCTCGATGTTGTATTATCCAGAAAACGTTGCAATTATATTTCAGCATGAGATTCACCTATAAATCAGTATACTGGTATATTTTCTGGGTATCTATTTTTTTTTTGCACTTACAATGATGTGTTAGCTGGGAAATAAGTCAAATGATATTTTGCTATTAACAAAATTTCTTATGAGCAAATATTGGCTTTTGGACATGGCGGTCTGCACTATGAGGGAAATTACTTCATTGGGATCTGCTTGTATCGACGGCTGTTGCTGGGGTTCATTGCGCAAAGTAAAAACAGCGGACTCATTTATTCGCCGTCACTTAGTTCTAGCTGAAAACTCCCAAAAAATTAACCTTCGGACGACCAGGATGAGCACTTTCTCCTATTTGCTAACCTTTATTTTTGGTAGATTTAAGGACAATGGTCTCCATTACTTTCAGCTATTCATTTTCGTATTGTACAACTGAAGATTTTTTTCGCTCATAACGAGTCTAATAAACAAAAATTTTTTGTACATATGTAGGTCA